TTTCAACCAAAAATTTTAAGTTAAAATGGACGGTTTTGGGTCTAAGATTTTGTCCCAATTAATGATCTGTTCGGGAGTGCTTCTACCTAGACCGGACCTGGATCCCACCCGTTGACAGCCCTATCTTGAATGGCGTCCAATTTCCGGTCGACCCACCACTCAAAGCATGACGAGAAATAGTCAGTCACTTATCTGAAGGAATTAAAACAAAATGGAAGTCCATTAAGCAAGGGATGTGTCCTATATACTTACATTGTTATCGGAAACCGGAAACAATAGTATGGYGCAATAGTCGGAAAGCCCTCCCCAAAAGKGGMAAYGCCTCGAGCAATCCAAAACTACACATATAACCGGAGGAAGTTAGTAAGCCATACACCCAAAAGAGGACACGGAATGAAGTGGAGAGTTGAGAAGCTTACACTGAAGATTGGACCAGCTTCCCTATAGAAAAGCCGTGAGAGCTTGCACAGCTTGCCCGCAAATCGAGCATTCTTCGTGCCWGCCCATAGGAACCAAGGATATTATGGACACCTCCACAACCGGCAAAGTTATATTCCAAAAGTGCTAAAATCTAGGAATGCAGACATTCTACAACAAACACATACCTGTGCCGCTTCCGAATCCGTATCACTTCCGAGTCTCCTTTCCGCGCCCACGCCATTCACCTGTCAAGATTATCTAATCAGAAATAGGTGAAGAAAAAGGTTTAACAGTGTATATAGAAGAAAAGGGTTGGAGTGGCTCATTCTGGACTCCAGCGTATGCGAGGCCGTGGCTGGTTGCTGCAACAATTCGAATGCTTGAATCAGCTCCRCGGACGCAACTTCCTGAAAGCGGCAATGCCTGAATTTGCCAGTCAAGAGGAGTATTAAAAAAGTAAGAAATGTTGCATGCACAACTACCGGAACAGAGCAATTAGTAACCCTCACACCCACAAGAAACATCYRGTCACTTATCCTACGGAATTAAAAGATAAAAGAAGTCAATTAAGCATGGGATGTYTCGTATACTTACAKTGATATCGGAAACCGGAATCAATGGTAAGGCGCAGGAGCCGGCAAKCCCATCCCCAAAATTCGCAWCGCCTCGAGCAATCTAAAACTGCAYATATAACCCAAGCAAATTAGGAACCAAAAGAACCACAAGAGAACACCGAATGAACCYGAGATTTGAGAAATTTACATCAAARAGTTGATCGRCTTCYTTATAGTWTTGCGGCRAGRGKTTGMGYATCTTGCCCGCACGTCGAGCATTCTTCGTGCCTGCACCCATAAGAACCAAGGATATTATTGTCACCTCCACAACCGGCAAACATTTTCTTCTAAAAATTTTAAAATTTAGGGATGCACACATTCGACAACAATCACATACCG